TCTTTTATATAGCAGTTGCAGGCAGGGGAGTCAAAGGCTGGGCTTTTCGACTTTGGGGGCAACAGAGTTATTTTCATCCTCAAGCAGTGACCCATAGAGGTCTGTTTCCATTTATGGATCTCGGTATACTCACCTGTTGACTTTATGACAGATGGCGATGTTATTATATGTTATTAATATATAAACGGTACGCTTATAGACTGCCCCAGACTGTAAATGATCTGAGCATCAAATGTTTGGGTTCATGGGGTTAGGCAAGTTGTTGTTCGAAGAAATTGTTGAGATGTCAAAGTAAAAAACAGCGCAATATAATATAATAGGAAGTAGTAGTAGAAGTAGTGGGAACAACCGTAGGGCTACAAGTTTCATTAGGGAAATTTGATTATTATCTAACCATTAAATGATATACTCGAAGAAATTGACCAACATCGCTCATATATGAATATTACTACAAATGTAAGTGGAACCTATTATTTTTGTGTCATTCGCACCACATACAAAGCTACGCTCCTATATATTTCGCCTATAGTTCTGGCTATTTTCATTTTTGTTAACATCCTTACATTTTCTATTGGCTTTTCTTTAAATCTATCACTTAACAATTGCAGCTGAATTTTATCCGGCGACCTCTGGCTTGTTAGTCCGACGCTCAGACGCTTAGGCTAAGGCTCATGACGCAAGGTTTGCAAAGCACACTTGTTTTTTTTACACCTTGACCACCGAATGCCCATACTAAAGAGTCGAATTTTTTAAAACCCTATCTTTGTGCATTGATCACCGTCAAGTCAGTATTTCAGTTAGACACGACAAACTATTTTATATTGACACAAATGAATTTTAAGAAAGTGTTGTATGATTATCTTTTACTTTATACTGTAAATATTGTGAATATTTTATATTAACTAAGTAAGAAAAGCGTGGCTGACAGCCAGAAGCTAAAATTTAAATCTAAAGAATGTGTTATACCTTTCAAAAGCAAATGAATGCGTTTTTGTTCAAGCAGCAAACATAGCCAAAACATATTATGAATTTAATGATGATTGTTCTTCTCAAATTTTATATTTGTGTGCATCTGAATCAATTCGCACAGCTGTCGGTTCCATTAATAGTTAATAATTTTGATCACCTGATCATTGTATGGAGTTTTTCCATACCCAATTTCAAAGTCTATCGTTCTATTCACATATTTATAATATCGCAAGTTGAGCAAATAAAGGCTCTGCGATTCGACAAATACTTGACGTCTTTAGATAAACTGCCGGCTATAAAAGTGGCTGGCAGCTTCTGCAATTTCGACAATTTGAGGTTGACATTTGGAAGATTAACATAATGCAGTTCAGCTCGCGTTTCCTGATTTTGGCCTGCCTCTGCTTGTGGGCATCATCTGCGTTCGCACAGACCACCGAAGATACTGAAATTGCCTACGACGAAGCTGATGACTCAGGCACCACGGATGATTATAGTGAAGTTGACAGCGGCAGCGAGGACGCCACCGACACCGAAACCGGCACCGATTCCAGCGTCGATACTGATTCAGCCACTGATACAGACATAGATACAGATACGGATACGGATACAGAGGGCACGGATGAGGAGGAGGAGACTACTCAGGCGGCTGTGCGGAGAACGACACGCAGAACACCCGTTCGCCGACCGAACGCCAGCAACAACAACAGGCGCAGGCAAAATAGTAACAGGCGCAACACTGGCAACAACAGGGGCAGCAACAACACCAGACGCAACACCAGTAACAACAGGCGCAAGAACAACACCAGGCGCAACACCAACACCAGACGCAACACCAGCAACAACAGGCGCACAACCAACAACAACAGACGTGCGAACAACAAAAGAAGACGCGGCTAAACTAAAACGCCGAACTGCTGGATTATATTAAACGATAGTGTCATATCCGATTTGTAATTATCAAAATCTTTTCTTTTTTTTTTTGGCCTAAATTATGAATATTAAAAGCTTTGATTGATAAATGAAAACTAGTTGTTCAAATTTGTGATTAACCAAGAGGTCCAGGTAAAGATTTTATATCAAAACTCAAGTTTTTGGCTGAGAAAGTCTGAGGTTAAGGGGAACTTGTCAGCTTCTCGAGATGCCTTTCTGAAAAGACAGCCGAGAGCGGTCAAGAAAACCAGCTGCATCAGTAGCTAATTGTGTCGAGCTAACAATATTATTTAAATAAATGTATTTTCTATCTCAGTCAAAACGCGCACCCATGCTTTCCTCCCGAGGATCTCTAGCTGGGCCTGAACGCGAATCCGGCTGACGCGGCCTTGACCAACAATCCATGATATCTGACATTGAATTCTTTTCGGCAATCGAATTTTTTCATTTTTGGCATTCAACTCGTTCAAGCTCTCCACTCACAAAAGGAAACGAAAAAATAAAAGTTGAACTTGTGCTGCATGAGAATTTATATGCATATGTTTAAATCAACTTGGAATTCCGTAGCTCAGTTCGGAGAAGGGAATAACTAAAATATTTTGCACACATTTTTACGATTTGGCTTTAATTAATCAACTCCCATTATTTGCATAGTATTAAGAATATTATAGAAATTAATACAGGGTATTTATCTGCCAAGCACATGTCGAGTACATTTGCACGTGGTCTAATTGCAACAATATAATATATATATATTGTTGTGTTAATTCTTATTCAATTGAAACATTCTCATTTATTTTTTCCATAAATTTTCAATTTTCAATATTTACAAAAACAAAAAAGAAGCATAATTGCGATTCATTGGAAATTGTGTAAAGCTTAAATCAACAAAAACAAAAGGCCTGCACATGCGAAATAATAAACAAAAGTCAAGCAAATAAATATATTGATTTGCTGCAGAAATAATCAGAGAGACTTTTGCAAAATTTATGCAATTCATTTATTCAATTTACAACTGTCAAACGGGGTCCCCATTCAGTTCATTTGGCAATATTATTGTCAAAACATATTCAATTATGCATTGGGATTTTCCTTTTTATGTTGGCCTTAAACTACGCTGCCTTTGTGCCAGCTATACAATACAGGTGAAGCCGACTCAATTACTGAGTCTGTGTCTGTGTCTGTGTCTGCATTCTACTGTCTATGGCTTCCGGCTGCTGTGGTCTGGCCCGTTGTCTGTGTTCGGGCCACCTAACTTTGTCGATTCGATTAAGTTGACTAACTGCAAATTGATTTGATTGTAAGTCGCTAATTGGTTGGTTCTCAAACTTTTGAGCCAAGTTCGTTGTGCAGTTCTTTTTTTTATGTTTTGTTTTCAGGGATAAATAGCGCATACGCCACGTAGCCGGCACACAGATGCGTGCAGAGTTGACGCATTTTGTTGCCACAAAATACAAAATTAATGAGTTTGGCTTTAAGCAGCCGCCGCCGCATTTGTCTAAATATTGACAAATAAAATAATAATATTGTTGCGTTTGTTTGGATTCCGTTTATGTTCATGTTATTTGCTTTCGTTTTGGTTTCGTTTTTTTTGGTTATTCTTTCTTTCTCACTTGCCTTCGCCTTCCCAGTTTTTTTTTTTTTTTTTTTCAACAGCGGCGCGAGCTGTTCATAGTCAATTTTTAAGGCCAAAGTCAACACAATGCCAAAAGCAGGCAGCAGCAGAAGCTGTGCAAAAAAAAGTGTTTCATAACTGTAGGCGTCATTTAAAGTGCTGCATGAGACTCGAAGTTTTCATCAAACTTTCGCTTGAAGCATTATTTATTTTATATAGTACTAGCATTTCACGACGCGACTTTAACTGCGCGCGTTTCGGTTTATAATTTCCACCAAGCATCTATGAAACCGCGAGCTCCCCATATCCATCTGCCCTCCGCCCAACGCATTTGACAAAGCAATACTTACACACAAAGAACGACCTGATTTCCGCGGTTTTATAAACTACACTCATTGGAAATTACCCGTTCTCGCCGGGGTCACATTATTAGTAGATAATATTGGCGTTAAACCGTCGACTTCTCGCTTGCTAGTCTGACACTCAGACATCTTTAATAAATGTGCCTTCAAATGCAAGTACAACATATATTTAAACGAGAATACATTTTAAAATCTGTCAAGTTTGCTTTTGCACTTGGCAATAAGGCTCTTATTTACAGGCTTCGCGAAATTCGCAACACTGAATTATAAAGGAGGCCTTAAGCTCTTGTTGCCCAAGTAATTAGGCCGCAGGTAATGTTCGTTGCATTTCGCAACACTGTTGAGCACACAATGCTTTAAAGCTTTAAAGACTTATTCCTTGAATTGAAATGTTATAAAACTCAAACACATTGAATATTAAAGCCTACATTAATGTTCAAGCTACAAACATAAAGCCTGTTGCTGGCGAAGGATTCTGAGTGGGTTTTAATGCCATGAACTCTTTGAATGTGGGCAGAAGAGTATACAAATTTTGTGCAAGAGTAAGTAACAGGCAGAGGCAATCATCTTCGACTCTATAAAGTATATACCTATATATTCTGGATCACGACGACGAGCTGAGTAAGCCCAGCCATGTCCGCCTCGATATCGATTTCGATTTCAATAATATCGATAAATGTCGATATTAGATTTAGACATGTTATTTAAGCATAACTCGAATATGTATTATAAAAAGTGTGGTAAAATCGAGGAAACCCGTTGTAAAAACGGAGGCCGATCTCCAGCTCATTTCCAAAGTCCTTCGTTCAAACTAATTTAAGAGCTGTTTCACACTCTTTGACAAATCCGCCCTTCTTGGTGGAAATATAGGCGAAAAATTGGAATTGTGAGGTTACGGTTAATAACTCAATTCCAAATAGCTTCATGAATATTCATGCAGACATATTTCATAGAAAATTTGGTTGAGCCGGCGAAACTTGAATTCGTTTGAGACGCGTTTCACACTTTACGAAAAATTTACCGCTTCTCGAGAAATGGAGGAAATTAAAGCATATAACTTGGACCGAACAAGGCCGGGAAATACCAGCTACTTAAATATAGATATTGATTGGCTGACTACTCACCGGACATTGGCCAGGGTGTGACGACGGTTCTTCAGGTAGCGACTGTGATACTTTTGGAGATCACCGATGGAGCCCTGTTCGGCCTGCATTTTGCTGGTGGGCAGCAGCTGCGAGTTGCTGGGATGCGAGGCGAGTGCCGAGGCGGAAGACGAGGCCAAACGATGATGGCCAGCGACGCTGACGCTGCTGCTGTTGTTGGTATTGGTATTGGTGTTGCCGGTGCTGCCGCTTGAGGCTAGAGTCTCGTTCGAATTGCTGCCAATAACTGTGGCCGAGGATGAGCCGCCGCCGCCACCGCCACCGGTGCTGCCAATGGGCGTGAGCACAATACGCGACCAACACGATTTGTGCGGCTTACGAAATTTGAGTTTGATGCGCGGTGAGGGCGTCGAGGCGCCGCCGTACTCTGGCTGCGCACTGCCGCCGGCCGTTGCCGAGGATGAGGTGCCCGAACTGTGATGCACACTCTCGCAGCTGCCGCAATATCCGCCGCCGGCAATAGTAATAGGCGGCAGCGGTTCCTCAAGACCCTTGATTGGGCTGCTGCTGACCAACTGACGGTTGTTGGCGTGTTGCAGCAGCTGTTGATGCTCGGACTCCTCCTCTTCTTTAATGTGCGGCAGTGGTGAGGTCTGCGGCTGACAGCTGCAACGCTGTCCACCTGCTGCTGCTCCTGCAGCTGTAGCTGCTGTTCCTCCAGCAGCGCTGCTGCTGCTGCTGCTGCTGGACTGCTGATTGACTGTGTAGACGCCGCTGGGCGAAGGCGACGTTGAGGAAACGCTGGTGGTTGTATTTAGCAGGGTTGCTGTTGGCGCCGCTGCTGTGGCTACTGTCGTCAAGCTGGTCGCTTCCGGCAGGGTCAGGCTGGGCGCTGTGCTAGCTGTCACTGTGCTGGACAGCTGCAGCACCACCACGGTGGGTGAGACGCTGGCGTCACTGAGTGTTTCGGGTTCGGCGCGCCTGGCTACCAAACCGCTGGCCAAGCTGGCGGCTGCAATGTCCGCTGCGGTCAGCTGTTGTTCCAAATCCTCGTCAACGTCGTTGATGAGTGTCTTTAGAGATATGGGCGTGGTCACCGATGTGCCAATCGTATCGGCGAGCGAATGCTTCTTCTCGCCCGCCCGACAAGCCTCCAAGTCTGTGTCTAATTGTTGCTGTTGCTGCTGTTGAGGCAGCTCGCTTTGTGCCTGCTTCTCAGGTATTGCTGGCTGTGTCTTTGCTTTCAGATCGTCCGGTGTCTGCGCGGGTGTTTGGGGCGGACTTGTGGCGGGGGCTGCGGAGCCGCCCCCGCGACAAGGTAGGCAACAGCGAAACACTGTGCCACCGAAACACTTTGTCCTTGGCTTCGACTTGCGCTTGCTGCTGTTGGTGTTGCCACTGCCACTGCCACTGCCGGAGCCGGTGGCGGTGCCGCTGCCGCCGCTGCTGCTGCTGCTTCTTGTCGCTGTCGTCGCTGTCGCCGCTGTCGCTGTGGCCGCCAGGCCGTTAACGTTGGCGCCGCTACCAATACTCTGCCTCGCACCGTTGCTGCTGCTGCTCCCGTGACGCTGCGAGCAAAAGAGAACGATTTAAGTATTAATGAGGCCAAATTCACATGCATTTAGTTAAACAAAAAAATCGAATCAGTTTTAAGAGTTGAGTTCGTTGCCCGCCCCTGCCCCTGTCAACCTTGGAGTGCGACTGATCCGTGCACTTTTGCGTTGCATTTTTGAGCGTTAAGCTTTGCGTCAGCTTCGCCAGTCGCATCATGAATACCACGCCACGCCCACTTAAGCTACAGCTAAAATTCGCGGTGCAGTCAACAGCATCATTTCACTCCACTGGGCGTTCAGTTCTCGGCCTGCAATGAAAGAGGTTAATGCAGACATTTGATTAGTTACTTTATTATTATTATTAAATTTCAATTGGTAAGTTTAAGCAATTAAACAATTTGGATCAATTACGAGCACAACAAATACTTCCTCCCTAACCCAGATTCTTGCGGTTGTGTTCATTGTTGTGGGCCTTGGCTAGGGTTAATATGAGCTATCTATTATGTTTATTATAATAAGTATTGTTTTCTTCTCTTCCTAAAATAATATTTGTTATCGAATATTTGTTGGGTATTGTGTGCGCTTAGCGCGGATCAAGCGCTCAATCGAAGTTAAATTTCAAACACAAGAAAAAAAATCACTTAGAGTTCCGGCAGAAAATATCGGCGTCGCCTTAAAGTATGCAACAAAGGAATGCTTTTTCCCAGCTAAATGTGGGTTAGACACACTTAGAGCATTGTATGTATGTATGTATGAAGCAGTTTGCTCAACCCCAACGGCAGCTGCACAAACTGACCCACATATGGGACACAGAGCCGTTCATGCGCTCTCATTGATGGGACCAGCTCGAGTTGGTATCATTGACAGCTCACCCGCAGCGGCAACTAAATGTGCCCATTCGGGAACTTAAGTCTCTTAAGTGGAACGAGTTCGGGTTTCACCTGGTGGCTGCTGCTGCCCTGGCTGCTGATGTACTCCCACTACAGGGTGGCAGACTATCCCAATATGGATGTGCATCACAATGGTTTTGACTATCAAGAGGAATATATTGATTCATTCACAGGACTGCAGGAGCATGACTATTTTGAATAGGTTAACAGAACCTTAAGACGTTTTCTTCAGAAATAGGAGTAAATGGCATCATTTTAATGAGTCCAAATAAAAGCAAGGAAAATAAACTATTTTAATGTATATAAGGTAAATATTAAATTGGATAATAGCAATTTTTAACTTAAGGCCAGCCTAAATTAAAACATATGCAGTTCAAAACAGTGTACAGCAAATGCGCTCAATTCATTTTGCAACAAATGTTTAAATATTTAAACAATTGGTTCAGTGTTCAGCAATTGGAATAGCTGTCTGTCTAGAAAATAACAACTTCCAGCTACACATTAAGCGAGCTGCTTATACTCAAGTTGAACTTTGTACAATTGTACATAATTCCATTAGCAGCTGACTTCTGGCAATTTTAAAGCTTCGGCTTAAAGCCAAATCCATTCCGAATGAGCCATTACCCAAGACCAGAAGTCAAATCGAGCCAACTAAACGCAAGTGCGCACTCAGGCCAAGACAAACCACAGTCGAGAGATTGAAGCTTAAAGCCGAAAACTTGTTGGCAGGCAACACAAATACCAACTGTCAGCGTTTCCATAGATACGGCAAGCGGTGTGTTAGGCAAAAAAAAACAGTTGCAACACCAACAGCTCAGGTGAATGGGTTCAACAACTTGCCACAGACAGCAACGAGAGCAGCTAGAACGACAACTACATTAGAGACAATAGCAACAAGAACCCAAATTTCACTTGCCACTCAATGTCAATTTACGTTAAAAAGGCAAAAATGGTTTTTACCTTAATAAATTATTAAAATTTTGAAGCATACTCTCGGGCGTGCGAGCTAAATGAGCTGTCTAACAGCCCCAAGTGTGTGCACAACTATTCTCTGATCAAGTTTTCAACAACAGCACACACAGAGCACAAAAATAACACTGGGCTAAAACTGCTGCATTCCTGAATGACACTTGGCTTATTGTTTACCTGAAGCCACACATATGCTTCAACATTTTTAGTGGTAATATCAAAAATGTGGCAGAGAGCTTTTCAATTTAAGAGCTAAGCAAATAAGTTGAGCAATTTGCATTCAATGGGCTACCAATGGGCGCCAGACAGACGACAAATTTTAATGGCTAAATATGTATAATAAACAAGAGCAATTTGTCATTTGTTTGAGAGCACTCAAAACTTTAGACGACTCAAAAAAAGGCTTCACTTGAGCAATGAGCACTACTTTATCAAAGTGAGAATTGCATAGAAGGGCGTTAAATGCGAGAGTGTGATGCAAGACAGAGAGCACATAGCAAATGTTAAGATAATTTTATTCATAATGACAACAATCAAAATTTCAATAGTAAGTAATTTTTTCGCGATTTTCAGCACCCCATTTTTAGCCAAGTCGCCAATTAGGGAATTTGTTAAAATGTCCATCTACCTTAACGGTTAATGTGCAAATACATTTTAAAGTCTAACAATATTGCGCAATGTACATCTATGATAAAAATATTTTTTTTTATATTGCATATAATGTACAGCCTTTTGCGAGTTATTTGCCAAAAACTTGTAGAGAAAGCAATTCCAAACGAATATCACTCAAGTGCAATGCGACAATCTTTATGTTTTTATTACCAGAGCGACCATATCTTAATAAAGCCATAAAGTACAAAATATATTTGATATTGATTTTTATTGAGACATTTTCAAAATTAATGTTTGCAATGCGGGTGCCCGGTGAACATTCGATATGGCCACGGATAACGTTGTCAACTTTATGGGAACTGTCGAATGATGAGCGGCATTAATAAATCAATAGAATTTGATGGCAAATAATTTGAGAGGTCTGCTGCAATTCGCTGCGCATTGATGGCACTTCTTTCCACTCAAATAAACGAGTGCGCGCGCGTGCCTGTGTGTGTGTGTGTGTGTGTGTGTGTGTAGTATGTGCCTGTCTAAATATTTGACTGTACAATGCGGCGTATGCGTGATAAGTGTTGTGTAAAATTCAAGTTATGTTGCGCCAAGTGGATTTCTCTCAATTCAATACGTGCTTTTTTATTGATTAATGTGCACACATCGGAATTGTCATTAATTTTGAAACTATATTGGAGTGTATATAAAACGATGCCAGCTCATTCGATAGGAATGCAATGGGTCCACTTTAGCCACAAGTGCTCAATAAAAATACTTTTTAAAGCAACGCAGTATGGATCGTCGAAAGCAGGTCAGTTTGGTCATTATTCTAAAGTATTTCTCATATATTCCCATGCTTTTTATGCTGTGTCATTTGCCACAGATTTTGATGCCAAGCATTTTTGCCAGTTTTGGGCACAACGGACAAATTTTCGTTGGCGCTTTGGACCAGCTTATTAACATAATCGCGAGTACTTATATGAGCTAATATAATGGCCTCGGCCTTATGGCGTGTGCCTGAGCTGCACTTTTGTCACATATGCGGGTCAGAATGGCACTTTAAATGTTTCTCCATTGAGCGGCGCCCCGGGGAGCATTTAGGTATTTTGCCCAAGTCGGAGACCACCCGCTGTGGCTGTGAAACAGGTGAATCAAATTTGTGATGCTGGCATGAACTGAACAGCAGATCAAATACCCTGTAGCAATAAAAATCTTATGCAACGGGCAATATGAAAATCTCTCCGACCATAAAGAGTGCCAATATTTTTCAATAACAGCAGCAGGTTGAGTCGGCTTAGCTGTGCTTGATAAACCTTGTCACAAAGAGTTACAGATTTTCAAAAAAATTTATCAGACTTTAATTATTTGATATATTAAACATGAGTACAGGGTAATAGGCAGTCCATTTCACACGGACTAGCATACGCTGAGTTGTTATTATTTATATTTTGCTTGCTTTCAACGACATTCAGCTGCCAGGACTTGCAACGTTTGGCAAGCGAAAGCCAATACAAGTCAAGGTGGGCGGGGCAAGGTGGAAAAAAACGTCAAGAAAAACAATGGCACAGCATGAATCAATCAGAAATGAAGACGTCAACGGATACGCAGCAATTAATGGGCAGCTATAAATGTAAACACACATGCCACATGGTTTATGCGGCATCTGGGCGTGGCAACAAGCAAATGAAAATGTGCCTGCATCACGGAGCTGGCCCTGTAAACATAAATATAATATATTATTGTATGCCAGATAAAGCAACATGAACTTCAATTGAAGTTGTTGCTGACGTTGCTGATGTTGTTGCTGTTTTTGTTGTTGTTGCTGTTGCTGTTGCTGCTTTACTTGTTGCCCTGCGCCTAATGAGCAATTTAATTATGCACATTGATTGATTGATTCTAATTGATGGCTCTTAACAAACAAAAACAGATCGAATTCAGCTTTAACTGTGCAGCACAAAAAATTTACTCAAAGCTTAATCAATTCTTAAAAATTATTCTAAAGTCAGCCACTGTGTGGGCGTGGCCAGAGAAACGTATTACGCTGTTATGCGATAGCTACGAAAAGTGCTGCACAAAAATTTCCATTTTGGCATTTTATTTTATTATGTAAATCAGCAAAACTTTTTCATGTGCAAACATTTTGCAATCCATGTGAAAATCGTGACCAATTACCAAAAGTCTTCGATTCAATTTTATTTTAATTTTCTTGCATTTGCTGTGTGCGCATTTTGTTTTACATATTTCACCCCTTTAAGAATTTTCGTTGGTTTTCTGCTCAGTGAATTGCTTGGTTTTATTGAATCAGATACTCAAGTCTTTGTCGCTTTAGTGAACGGCTGCTCACAAATGTTTGCCAGTTACCCAGTTCCCAATTACAAGGTCCCCTGAAGATTCTCTTGACAAAACGCCCTTACTTAAACTTGTCAATTAGTTGGTTCTCTGAATTTCATAGTTTAAGCTGGAACTCAGCTAAAAAATCAAGAAAGCTAAAGAGCAATTTATACGCTTAAAGTATTTCATTTTCTGCTGAAGAGCTTGGAATCTTAATTCATATCAAAGATTGTTAAGTAATTTCATTGCATGCCCGAGCTCAAGGACTCCGCCAAATTGACGCTCTCAAAGGACTTTACGGGGATGGGGCATATAGAATGCGAGCAGTTTTTTGAAACGTAATTTTAGTGCCTCAAAAATTGTTGATGCTGTTAGCTAAATCAAATGGAATTTACAATCTACTATTTAACAGTTGAAATTATTCAATTTTTTGGGCGTA